GAAGGTTTTACTAGGTTTCTTTACAAGGTTGTACTATTTGTTACCAAACAAAATATGGCAGCATGATCCCCACTGAGGAACAAGATCGACATGGCTTGCTGCTTTTGACTTCCTTTTAAGAGCCCTGTCTTTGTTATTCTCTTGAACTTTACTCAGCTGCTGATGGAAACAACATAAATGGACTGGAAAAGAAGATCCGATTGAGCACTCTCTTTTGTTTTGGTACATCTCACCGCACTTTAATCAAGCTTTCTTCCTGCATGAGTATGTTGAATGCTTAATAAGCTTTCTTCTGTTAGTGTATGTAAATGCATGGCATATAAGTTCACTGATGTGCATGATGGTTGTGCAGCTGAGGATTGGTTCACTGCAACTGATCAGTTGAAGTAGTTAATTTGTTGTGCAGTTAGTTACTTCATCTGTTATAGCTATAGTACTAGCTATAAATACTCTCCTTGAGAGTTGTAATACACACGCTTGAAAATAATGAATTTCAGAAGATTTGTTTCTCTCATTTGTTTTCTCTGTTCTTGTTTACATAGATTAGACATCTATTGCTAATCTTTACATGGTATCAGTCGCCAAAACGGTCCTGCAGTTTCTGATTTGCTTCTTTTCTTGGAGGTTCTTGAAGGTTCTTGCTTTTCTTTGAAGATGGTGGACTTGCAACAAGCTGGTGTTCAATCTCCAGTGAATACCACAGTTACTTCAACGTCATATGGTTCTTCAGTTCTGTCCAGTATTCAACATATACCCAAACAGGATGTCATAAAGCTTACCGAGTCAACATACTTTCTTTGGAAGCATCAGGTGACCCTTATAATTGATGGCTATGGATTGTTAGCTTACATCTCTGGTAATAGTCCTGCTCCATCTCAGTTTGTTACAAATGAGTCTGGACAGCTTGAGGAAAATCCAGTGTATCCTGTGCATAGGCAACAAGACAAGTTGCTTGCTTCGTGGTTGTTGACAACGGTTAGCATGAAGGTTTTGCCACATCTTACGGGGCTCACATCCTCTCGCACAATCTGGAATGCAGTTTCAAGATTGTTTGGAGTTCGTTCTAGTGCCAAGATTTCTTCTCTCAAACACAGTTTGCACTCTCAGAGGAAAGCTGGCTTGACTGTGAGTGATTATTTAGACAAGATCAAGACAATCTGTGATTTGTTGAATGTTGCAGGTTGTGTTGTATCTGAACAAGAACAAGTAAGTGTGATTCTTGCTGGATTGTCAATGGAATTCGAGTCCATTATTGCTATAGCATCTCGTGATGTAGTGTCACTGGATAGCCTCACTGAAATGCTCCTGGATTGTGAGGCTAGGCAGAAAGCCTTTTTAAGCGATGGTATTGCTGCAAATATGGTTGTGCAACCGAAAGAAGAGAAAGGGACAAAGTCTCAGGCTGCCACTGAAACAGATGCAACAGAAAAGCAGTTTTATTCGGGAGGTCAACAGGGAAGTCAGCAGGGAGGCTATCGCGGTCGAGGCAGAGGAAGGTTTAACAGTTCAAATAGACCACAGTGTCAGTTGTGTGGAAAGTTTGGGCACATTGTTTAGCGGTGTTATCGTCGCTTTGATCGAGATTTCATTGGAGTTAACAGTGAAGATCAGTCTGCTGAGCAGTGGAAGAAACCAACTGAACAGACAGTTCCTGTGAATGGACATGCGTATAGTCACACGCTGCAATCTCCTGTATTCTACCACTATCCATCTAGCTTCATGCATGGTATGCCCTATGCTTTGACTAGTCAATGACTGCCTTACTCCTCGAGTCAAGTAATGAATACCTTCCCTGGGGACTGTGGAACTCATCCTGCAAAAACAGAAGGACAAGAGTCATTTGTTCATACCGCACCTACAGCCTTTGTATTAACTGTGCCTAGTATGGCAGCAACTCACAGTGCTCCAAACCACTCCAATGCTTTGTGGTATCCAGACACTGGAGCCACTCATCACGTATCAAATGATCTTGTACAGTTCAATTCAGGTATGTCATACAAAGGTAACAATACTCTTTTAATGGGAAATGGTGAAGGAATTAAAATTGATCATGTTGGTCAAGGCTTTCTGTCTTCTAGTCTGAGACCTCTGGTGTTACAGAATATGCTATATGTCCCACACATTAAGAAGAAGTTGATGTCAGTATCTCAATTCACTCGTGATAACAATGTATTTATTGAGTTTCACCTTTTTGAGTGCTTGGTGAATGATGCACAGACTCGGAACATTCTGTTGAGAGGGAAGCTCACACGTGAAGGTTTATACCAGCTGCTACCGTATGAAGGAAAGAAATTGTGTTGCATGGTGAATAATGTGACCAAGGCTTCAAACAGTCTGGAACTTTGGCATAGGCGCTTAGGACACTCCTGTGAGAAGACTGTCAAAGATGTTATGAAAATGTGTAATGTTTCTTCTAGTGAAAACAAATTGAACAATGTTTGTTCTGCGTGTTTGCAAGGCAAGGCTCACAAACTGCCTTTTTGTAATTCATTGACTGAATACAAAGAAATTTTTCAGCTGGTTGTGTCAGATGTGTGGGGACCTGCACATGTTGTTTCGACTGAGGGTTACGCATATTATGTATCGTTTATTGACGTGTTTAACAGACATACCTGGGTGTATTTAATTAGAAAGAAATCTGAAGTCAGCCAATGCTTTATCAACCTTGTTAAAATTGCTGAAGTTCAGTTTGGGAAGAAAATCAAAGCGTTGCAAAGTGATGGTGGAGGTGAATATCAAGCCCTGAAGTGTTGGTTTTTTACCAATGGTGTACAACATCGAATCTCCTGTCCCAGCACGTCAGAGCATAATGGGAAGGCTGAACGTAAACATCGCCACATTGTTGAGATGGGACTAGCCATGTTGGCTCAAGCATCACTGCCAATAAAGTTCTGGAGTCATGCTTTTACTATGGCAGTGTATATCATAAACAGGCTACCATCTGAGATTATTTCAGGTAAGACCCCGTTTGAGGTTCTCTACCAAAAAACTCCTGACTACTCTGGTATGAAAGTGTTTGGGTGTGCTTGATTTCCTTTCTTGAGACCGTTTAATCAACATAAATTGGATTTTCGGTCAAGGCAGTGTGTTTTTCTTGGGCCCAACACCTCACATCATGGATACAAATGTCTAGACAGTGATGGCAGAGTTTTTGTCTCTCGGCATGTGAGGTTTGATGAGCAAGTTTTTCCATTTGATAAAAATCAATCTGTGTGCAAGTGTCATGGACAAGAAGTCTTCACGACTGGACAGCTGCCTATAGTTTATAATAAGCGTGGAGCCACACCGCTTGGAAGTCATAATAATGTTGGGGTAGGTGAGAATAATCCAACTCAAAATATTATTGGGAGCATGCCTTTTGGAATGGTGAATGCACATGGTAGTGCTATTGGGGACACAAACGCATGGGTCCAAGAGTTAGAAAATGCACATGGCGAGGTTCAAGATAGTGGTGCGGCAGTTTTAAATGATATTGGTAATGCTTTTTCAACCGGCCATTATATTGGTAATATGCGTGGGGTCCAACGTGGTGTTGCACATGGGGAGCAAGGAGAATATAATGCAAATGTTGATATGCATGATGATATGCGTGAGAGTGGTGATATGCGTGCAATTGAAAGTGCACATGGCATGCGTGGAATTGAAAATATGCGTGGTGCACATGAAGACAGCCATAGTAGTGCGCCAAGTTTAAATAATGGGAGCTCACATGGTGATGGAATCTCACGTGGGGTCCAAGGAGAGAGTAATGTGGATTTTAATATTGAAAGTTATGGTGGAATCTCACGTGCGCCAAGTTATGGTGGCTTCCCTGTTGGAGAATTAAATACGCATGGGGAGCAAGGAGAAAACAATGCAAATGTTGAATTAAATAGGCGTGGTGATATGCGTGGTGCACATGGAGAATTAAATAATGATGATATGCGTGGTGCACATGGGGAGCAAGCTTCGGTCCTAGTAGAAAATAACTCAAGTTCAAACGTTGAAAATGGTGATATGCGTGATGCGCATGGGCTCCAAGGAGGTTGTCTTGGTGCGCATGGGGTCCAAGGGAATTATCATGGTACGATTATTGTATATAATAGGAGTAGTGCGCCTAAAATAAATAATGAAGATGGCAATGCACGTGGGGTCCAAGGAGAAATTTGTGATGGTGCACCAATTTTGAATAATAATGATAGTGATGCCAGCTCACGTGGGACTCAAGAAGAAAATGGTGCAGCAGAAACGTGCATTGAAGCTCAACACGGTGTGGAGAGTGAGGTACCACAAGCAGTCTCCAATGTTCATCCCATGATGACCAGGAGTAAGCATGGAATCCGGAAGCCAAAAGTTTATAACGTTGCAAGTTCAGATCGAGAGCCAGCTAATATCACAGAGGCCTTCATGAGTCCTCATTGGAAAGAAGCTGCACAAGCCGAGTATGACGCCCTGGTAAAGAATGGCACGTGGACACTAGCTCCTCTTCCTAGAGATAAGAAGGAAGTAAACTGTAAATGGATATTTCGTATAAAGAAAAATGATGATGGCTCAATTTCAAGGTACAAAGCACGCTTGGTGGCGAAAGGTTTTCTTCAGAAACCAGGAATTGACTTTGATGAAGTTTTTAGCCCGGTGGTCAAGCATGCAACGATCAGGGTAATCATTTCCTTGGCGTTGTCACGATGGTGGAAGCTGAGACAGATTGATGTCAACAATGCCTTCTTGAATGGGCTGCTCACTGAAGAGGTGTACATGACTCAACCACCAGGGTATGAGCAAGGAAATGGTGAGCTGGTATGCAAGTTACACAAGGCAATTTATGGGCTGAAACAAGCACCGAGAGCCTGGTTTGAACGGCTAAAGGCATACTTGGAGTCTAAAGGTTTTTGCCTAGCTAAGTCGGATGCTTCTATTTATGTTAGAAAGACCTCGGATAGCTTGGTGTACTTACTGGTGTACGTTGAAGATATCATCTTAACAGGGGATAGAGAGGTAGTTGTTCAAAGTGCTATAGACAGATGAATGCTCAGTTCTCGTTGAAGGATCTTGGACCATTGAGTTTTTTCCTAGGAGTGGAAGTCAGTTATAGAGGTTGTGATGTTGTTTTGAGTCAACAAAAGTATATTCAAGATCTTCTACAGAAGCATGGCTTTGGTGGAGTAAAGAGTCTTCCCACCCCTATGGTCTCTAACATCAAGCTGTCAACCAAGGAAGGAACACCACTTGAAGATGCTGCACAATACAGAAGCATCGTAGGTGCCCTGCAGTACATTGTGATCACTCGACCTGATGTGGCGTTTGCTGTGAATAGAGTGTGTCAATTCATGCAAGCCTCACTGGATGTTCATTTTCTGGCAGTGAAGCGGATACTTCGTTACCTACAAGGCACTGTTGATTTTGGACTACGGTTTACACCTTCCTCGAGAATGGCTTTGACTGGCTTTGTAGATGCGAATTGGGGTTCAGATGTTGATGATAGGCTATCAACTTCAGGATTCTGTATATATTTTTGTGGGAACTTGGTCTCGTGGAGCTCTAAGAAGCAACAGGTTGTTGCACGTTCAACTGCTGAGGCTGAGTATAGAAGTGTGGCTTGCGCAGCTGCTGAAATGGTGTGGCTTCGATCACTGTTGGGAGAGCTGCACATAGTTACTCATGGCAAGGCCACGTTGTGGTGTGATAATACAAGTGCAGTTACAGTATGTGCTAATCCCGTACTGCATTCCAAGTTTAAACATGTTGAGTTAGACCTGTTTTTTGTTCGAGAAATGGTGGCCATGGGACAACTACAAGTGCATAAAGTGCCTGCAGTCGAGCAGGTTACTGATGTGCTAACCAAGCCTTTATCAGCACCTTTGTTTTTTAAACACAGACAACGGTTGCTGGTGATGCAGCTCAAGAGCAGATCAGTTTGAGTTTGAAGGAGGTTTGAAGTTGAAGATTGCAAGGGGAATGTTAGTATAAATGATCATTCATTTCATTTTGAGTTTGAATGAGCATTGACCATGTTTGTGCATGAGTTTGAAGGAGGTTTGAAGTTGAAGATTGCAAGGGGAATGTTAGTGTATGTAAATGCATGGCATATAAGTTCACTGATGTGCATGATGGTTGTGCAGCTGAGGATTGGTTCACTGCAACTGATCAGTTGAAGTAGTTAATTTGTTGTGCAGTTAGTAACTTCATCTGTTATAGCTATAGTACTAGCTATAAATACTCTCCTTGAGAGTTGTAATACACACGCTTGAAAATAATGAATTTTAGAAGATTTGTTTCTCTCATTTGCTTTCTCTGTTCTTGTTTACATAGATTAGACATATATTGCTAATCTTTACATCTTCCTGCATGAGTATGTTGAATGCTTAATAATATTGTTCTAGTGATGGATTGATTCAGTTGATCATGTTTTGACTGTCTGTATTTTGTTATGTAATCCGTTGAGTCATATCTTTTATTTTAGGCATGCGTGTTGCGCCTTCGTGTGAAATATCAAGAATGCAGATCTTCTTGTGTTTAGTGGTTATGAACCTGCGTTCTATTTTGTCTGAACTGACAGAACTGTGACATGGATGATGGTTTATAAAGTTTCGACTCCTTTATGTGTGCAATATTCTTCATAAAACTTAAGAGTGGATCCACTGTTGTTGTAAGATCGTATATGCTTAGACTTTAGCTTGGAGTCTGAAACTTGAGCTTTTCATCTGCTCAAGTACCGCCGTACCGGTGAGTTGGAACTTCTTAGAACCATGGTATTATTATTCATCCATGATTAGCTTATAACACAAGGGTTGTATGTTCTTGTAGAGTCTCGGGCTAAATCGGATGTAAACATACTACGAGACAGTAATCCTTGATGGTTAAAAGATCATTGGGGACTTGGTTGCTGAATTTGCTTCAGTTTTTGCTTTAGGAGTTGCCATTATTCTCATGTTCTCACTTCAGCATATAAATCTTTGAGAAAGTTATGGGTGGCCAATGGTTTTGATTTTCCGTTGTGTTTGACTGACATATCATATGCAGCCAGCTGAGTTGGGAAAAGCCGAGTTTCAGATGATTCTGAACCCGAACTGCCGCGGTCGAGCTTGTGCATGGAGGTGACGAGTCCATTACAGTCACAGAAGCAATCCGGAAGGGAGACGTTAAAGAACAGTGTGTACGTATATAAAATATTTTATATAATTACACAAAATATTTCAAAATTTTAATAATTTTATAACGTTTTATGAAATCAAATATTACATGAAATGTTAACAAAATTATAATAAAATATGTGATTTTATCTTAAAATTACTTTTTTTCTTAAGGCCTTAATATAATTTTTTTCTCCAAATTACACTTCTTTTCCTCTTTAAGTGTCTAATTTTTTTAAGTCAATTTAGGTGTTTAACATTTTCAATATTATTATTTAGGTGCTTGGATCATGACAGTCGTTAAAAATATCTCGTCAATCATGTAACACGTGGAGCTTTTATAAATTTTATTTTTTAAAAAAATTAAAATTATTTTTTTCAAAAAACCTCTCAAAATGTTTCTAAAATCTCAAAAAAATTATAAAATCCTTAATTTCAAAGCATTCACCCTATCCGCGGTCAACCACTATCGTTTTCGATTTCATCGGCTATCACTTATCCATCCATCGTCAACCGTGACTTCAAACTCTTAAAATTCTTAAATCTAAATTTTAAATCCTTAATTTTCAACCCCATCTATCCCAACGGTGGATGAATAGTCAACGGGTGAATGAGTGATTGTTAGCGAAGATGGTGGTCGACGTCTAAATTGAAGGTCTCATAATATTTTTATGAAAAATAAGAAAAATTGAGATTTTTTGAAAATCTATGAATTTTGATTTTTAAAAATTAAAGAAAATAAAAATTCAAATCACGTGTTAAATATTAATTAATATAATTTACCCTAACATTTAATACAAAATGCACTATGCAGGAAAACTATAAATAAATAAAACGTAATACATGGTATAATACAAATATATAAATAAAACTATAAACTATAAACTCTTACATGTCAGTAAGGCACAGGGTTCATTGTTGGGTGACAATCCCATAAAGCTGCACCTGTAAACTGCTCGAGATATCAATCATCATCCACAGTGATTTATTTTTAACAATTTTTTTACTTAGCCTTTTCTTAAAACTGCTTAAAATTTCCCGACAATTAGGCTGGGGAAAGGTCTACTTTAGACCGAGAGATATTCGATCCTTTCCAAGTAATCTTTTAAAAGACTTATCAACAGGCGCTGACTGAGTCACACAAATGACGAAGCCCTCCTCTACTTTTCCAGCTTCTCAGGTCTCTTCTTCAGATGGTGCCACCACCACTGAACCCGAGGAGAGATCTACACCGCACGCGTCCAGTGCTATACGTTTCCTAGAAAGCGTCGGAATTTCCGATCCCGAAGTGGAAAACTACAGTTCAAAAGACTTCTACTCCGTTCTCTTATGTAACCACCTTAAGACTCACACCGTCCAACGTGGCCACGTCACCAGCTTCACCACCGTCAAACCCCCTATCACCGTAATTATTCTGGGTTAATTCTCATGTTATACGGATTCTTTTTTCTTTTGTATTGATTTTATTGGTTGTTTTGCAGAACTCTTTTGGCGGGTTACATGGAGGTGTAGTTGCAGCGATAGCAGAAAGAGTGGCTATCGCCACAGCTAGAACAGCGGTGGGTGAGGATAACGACATTTTTCTTTGGTGAATTGGCCATGTCTTATCTCTCTGCTGCTACCACAAATGTGAGTTTCTTTCTTTGGGTTTTCAAAATTCTAATATCTGGTTTTTGGTTAATAATTATTCCCATTTGTAGTTTCAGTGAAATTAAGTGAACCTTGATTGTGAATCGTGGTTATGCCTACCAACTTGATGTGTAAATAATACAATGAACAGCGGCTAAGCAATTCAATTTTCAGATGTTAATTAGAGCAACAGTTTTCTATATAATTATATCATCATACATTCATAGTGGTAGATAGTGGTAGGTATGGACGAAGTTAAAACCAAATATTAAGAGAATTAAAGAAGTTAATTATCTAAATTCGATAACACTGCTTCCATGAAACCGTGAATCCTCTCGTAAACATTGCTCATCAACAGTTAGATAATGACAATCTTTTGTATCAAGCATCTCATATGGTGTTTGTAATGGAAGTGATAGTATGATACCATGTATGTTTACAACGGTGCAGGCAGAGTTGGTCGTTGATGGATCCGTGATTAGAAGTGGAAGAAATATAACTGTAATTGCGACTGAATTCAAAATGGAGAAAACTGGGAGACTGGTCTACAGCTGCCGTGCTACCTTTTATAGTTCACCCGGCCAACTTATGAAGTTTGCATTACTTTGAGGCTCAGTCGATATCTAAATCTTTCCTGTAAGATCTCTGATTCGTTTGGTTGGTATAGCGAAAAATATTCCGTGTTACTTGATAGTATCTATTATTCTTGTTAGTTAAAAACAATATACACTAATAGGATCCTCGTATTCTATGAGTTGGTTCCTGTACTTGATAATATTTCATCAGGCTATTCATCAATTGTTAACAAAGAGGGAGCCTAAAATTGAATCTGGTTAATGATTGCGGCTGCAACGTTTATAAATGTAAGTGTATCGCACTATTTGAAGTGCACGTTTCATTGGCTAGTCTTATAGTCTTGCTCACTGGTGAAGACAATATCAAAATGCTTAAAAACTAGGTGGAATTTGATGAACATATCAAACTTGTATCGTCATAGTAAAGAAGAATTTAACGCGTCTAATCCACCTGTTTAATCCCAACTTGCTGGCCAACAAATACTCTTCTGACCGAGTTCTTAAAATAATATGCATCTAGAAGCCTGACGTATTGGCCAAACATATCTTTAATGAATGAAATACCTAAGAAACAAGAAGGTAATAATGCACTGGTTTAATCCAACAATGCATATGGTGATTGATAAGACGTTTCCAAAAGAGTAGTATTAATGGACCTAACAGGCAATCTGATGACTTTTCCAACCATATTTCTCATGAAAATATGGCATTAACGAATTCCTCTGCGTCAAACGGTTGAAGGTCTTCAACACCTTCTCCGACACCTACAAACTTCACGGGAATCCCAAGTTCATCAACCACACTGACCTGTCCAAGGCAAGGACAGAGATAAAAAAAATGTGAATTGGAAGTTCGTAAACAACCCTCAATACTCTCCCACCTCATCCCAAAAGCAAATAGAAGCTGGTTTAAGAGATGATACCACACAGCCCCCTCTAGCAGAACCATCAAGTTTCGTCAAAATAAAACCAGTTATTCCAACGACCTGACAACATTGAATGTTAATACAGCTGAAACAGCAACTAGGAGCAATAATAAGATATTAGCATTTACAAGTCTTAATATCTTGACGAAGGTGAGAGTAGTGCCTCATTGAACTCTCTAGCTTGAGGAAGCATATTCAATCCAGTGTTCCCATCAAGAACTAGTAGTATCTCCTGCAAATGTTTTGGTATTCTCATAACTAAGATAAGTCTTTGCTATAAATACAAGAATTTGAAAAGATAAACACGTAGCTCAGTATATAATTATTTCAAATTCATCGTCCTTGACAATACTTTTGAATATACTACTAACAGCTATAGCTAAACCATAGAAACTGGAACTATAACATCTTTGAATTTCGTGTCCAAGGAACCATGCCCTTGACAAAGCCAGAAATGATGACTAAATTAAAAGATGTGGAATAGAGGCAGATAAAGTAATGTATCAACATGTTCTTTGTCCGGACAGAAGAGGAAATGCAAATCTCTCTCATTGCCTGGACATTTAACTGATTTCAGGGCCATGAAAAAAATTGAGCTTACGTTAGGTGCACCACGAATAACTTTGCCGACAGCCTTCTTACATGCTATCAACTCTTCCATTAAGCTGTAGTTAGTGTGAAGACCTGCAAAATTAATAAAGCACCCCATTGAGGAACAGCTTAGAGGCCGAGAAATATCAACACGAATATAAGATGAAGGTTTCATAATACTTACGTCCAGATGTGTCACACAAGACAACATCAAAACCTTCCTCTTTACCTCTTTTCACAGCCTGCGAAAGCACTATTCAGAAAGCACTTTAACGTCACAAGTTAAAACTTTGTAATGCATCACAGTCGTAGCAATCACAAAACACAACATTCGTCTCCTTCCACTCCACCCCTTTCAGTCCTAAAAGGAAGACTTTCATTAGATATTATTTTTGTCTACCTGATGATGCTTTGGCATTCCCTTTTTCTGCTACAACTATCTCACAACCAGTTCGCTCAGCCCAGATCTCTAGTTGATCACTGGCAGCTGCTCTGAATGTGTCGCCAGCTGCCATCAATATCTGCCAAGATCTCAAACTGTAAGATAAAATGATATGCAAAAACTATTTATGAACAAACATGTTTACAACTACAAAGCCCTCATCACATTGTAGTAGCTAAAGCATTTTATGCTTTTTAGAAGCTCACGTTTGCCCCTTCATTCTTTAATCTATAAGCCAGCTTTCCTGCAAGGGAATCAATAATTGAATAGGATCAATTTGTAATAAAATGTCAAACATCAATTTTAATTAAAAGTTGCTCATAAATCTCAACACCCTTATAATCACAGTATTAAATAGCGGCCGCAAATTAGTGTAATGGCCGCATCGTACCGTAGCATCAGCAACCGCAATATAGTACTATGCCCTTACCGCTAGAACAATTAAGACTTCGCTTTATCGACTTACCAAGTGATGTTGTCTTGCCACCTCCATTAACGCCGACAATCATGATCACGGCTGGCTTCCTGAATGCATTAAAGAGTGTTAAGCAAGAGAAACAAACAACAGCAGTTTACAGCAGGATGGATCATGAAGTAAATTCAAAATCTGAAACACAAAAAACCTGAATCCAAGTTGAAGCTCGGTGTTACTTCCCTTTGTTGTTAAGAGATCCAACACACACTTCTTCAGTGCATCCTAAATCCATAATTAACTCACATTTTTCAATATTTATAACATCATAAAATAAAACACTCCACTAACTATATTCAACAAAGAATGTAAAAATATTGTTGGACTTGTTGAATTAACCTTTATTTCACTTCCTGATTTAAGTTTTCCACCTAGAATATCTTCCCGCAAGCTTTCCACTATTTTAATAGTAATTCTTGGCCCAAAATCGGATACCAATAAAGCCTGCAAAATCAAGTTAGAATAAATTTATTCATTTTCCCCATCTTTTTAACTGCTTCACTAACACTTTTCCGATAGCGTTTAAACTATGAATATAGATGAGAAAACCTCTTCAAGTTCATCAAGGACACGATCGGTTTCGGCGAGGTTCCAGTATAATAAGAGCTCGTCGATGACGGCGAGGTTGTCTCTGGTTTTGGAGAATCCCGAGAAGATCTTTTCAACGTCACTCTTGGCTTTTTCCTTGATTAACCGGCCGAGTCGAGTGAAGAACCCCGTCTGACTAGCAAGGATTTTGGGAGGAGAAGCGATCGGTCTGGCTGTTGTGAAAGGGGTGAACCGGGTTCGAGGGAAGTTGGAAAAGAGCGGCGACGGTGAGGGTTTGAAAGCGAGGGAGAAGTGAGTAGAAGAAGCCATTTCTATGGCTTTCGGTATACTGTATTGTGTGAGATGAAGGCAAGGGACTCGGAGTGGATAACATCCTACTAACGACGTCGTTTTGATGGAACAAGTGGATAACATTTTAAAATGGTCTCAATTGTAGAGCCTTATTTTATTAAGTCTCTCTATTATTGAAATTTATAAAATGATCCACCATTATAGGAGTTACTTTGTTGATTTCCGGAATTTTTAAAAGTTATTCATATATTTTAAAATTGTTGTTTTATTTTGTTAAAAAATTGACAATCATCTAAATTGGATGTTAATCTAATGACAAAGATATAATAAAATCATATTTTTAATGATATTTATTGGTTATGTTGTTGTTTTCAATCATTGATTCGATTACATAAAGTTTAAATCATTAACTCAACGGTATAATGTAAATAAAGACTCAATCTAGAAAAATGCAACTCAAATGATTCTTGGTCAATTTTTATCATATCTATGTAAGTAAAATAACTTCTAACTTTAACGGTCGCTAATGTTTTAACAAAAAATGATAAGTTTAGAACATATAAATAATCAATTGATTATTTTATAATTTTTAATAATTAAAATATTCAATAATATAACATTTTATAATCTTGAGACAATTTATAATTTTTAATAAAAAGACTCAACAAAACTTTATAATAAATGGATCATAGGTGTAGTTCAACCTTAAAATTAATCCTTTACAAACTTGCTTCCTTGCAAGTAGGCAGGTGATTTCGTTGGCATTTATCAAAATGCAAAAAGTCGAAAATGACCTACAAATGTCACACGCTCTGAATATTCAACCCCTTTAAATCTGACTATGATTTGGAAGCCACACGGTTCAACACTGAAGCACCCTCTCTCTTTCCGCCGCCTTTCTCGTCAACTTCATTCCGCCACCTCCGATATAAACCCTTCCTCGTCAACCCTTTCTTCTCATCAGCCGTCGCCCCTCTAATTTTCATCAAACATTCAATACCTCGCTTCATTCTTCTTAAACTTTCGCTGCCGCTTCTTTTTCATTCTATGGAGACCAACTCTCGCACCCTGGAGATCACGATTTTGTCAGCAGAAGATCTGAGAATCGACAACAAATCCATTAAAAACAACGCTTTCGTCGTTGTTTGGACCGACACTTATAACTACAAGACGACGAAGATCGATGCAGAAGGAGGGAGCTTTCCTTCCTGGAACGATAAACTAGTGATGCCCATGCCCATGCACACACGCTTCGTTACACTCCAAGTCAAATGCAAGGCTTCAAACGGTGGGGATAAAGCAGTCGGAATCGCAAGAATACCGGTGACGGATTTCATTGGAGGGTATTACCCCGAGAATCGTTTACATTTCTTGAGTTATCGATTGAGAGATTCGAAGGGAGTGAAGAACGGAATCGTCAACGTTTCAGTTAGGGTAAAAGAGCCTTTACAACCTTGTTCTTCACAGGCTGCGGCGTCTGGTCTTGGAATAGCCGTCGATGGACGTAAAGATTCGGGAGTCGTTATTGGGATTCCGGTTTGGAATGGTTATCCATCTGGTCCTTTGTTTAGATGATTTCCACTGAATTAGATTGAAGCAATGTTTATAAAAGAAATGTGTTAATTGGCGTCAGACAAATGCAAACAATTCTTTGTTAATGATAATTAGGTATTCCTTATAATATTGATCAGTGAGATTAGAGTTTTAGACTTATAGTGCATACCCAACACCCAATCTTACACGTGTTACAGGTTCAAATCAAAAACATTGTTTTTGTTATTGAAAATATAAGGTTATGTTTATTTAGATGTAATTGATTTTCCAGAAAATGAATTACTCAAATTTGAATTACTGGAATTTGAATTCTAGAAAATGAATTATATTTCTGGAAAACATCTTGAAAACGTTTTATGATGTTTGGAAGATGTTATTTAAACATTTTTTCCACTAGTTGAAGAATTTTTTAAAAATTATGTATTACAAATATTAAATATAATAAATAATATTATTTATCATAAAACTTAATATTATTATTTTAAAATATTAAAATAATTTATTTATTATTAAATATTATTTTTATAATTTTATTAATAAAAATAAAAATATTGGTATATTTTAGTGAAATAAAATATTATAAATTATATTAATTATTTATTAAAGTAATAGTGCTATATTATATTTTAAAAATATTAGTATATTTTAAATATCTTTACTAAAATATTATTGAAATATATAAATAATATTATTCATTATTAAATATATAAAAAATTTATTATATATTATTAAAATAAAAATATAATATCTTATATTATTATAATATAATTGATTATTTTATATAATATTATAAATATTATATTATATTATTATAAATATTAATAAATATATTTTAAATATTTTAATAATTAATATTTTGATGAAAATGATATTAAAATATTTTATTAATATTAAATTCATAAAATAAAATTATTTTGAGTATTTATGCTTTGAAGTGAAAAGTTCGGAAAATGACTTACGGAAAATGAATCCGTAAGTCATTTTACAGAAAACACAAAGGAAATTCTGTTACTAGGAAAATGAATTACATTCCGGAAAACGAATTACGTGAAACAAACACGGGAAAACGTTTTCCAGAAAACGAATTACGTGAAACAAACACGGAAAAACATTTTCCGGAAAACGAATTACGTGAAACAAACACGGGGAATTCAGGGAAAATCAATTCCGTAATTCCAATTACGGAAACAAACAGACCCTAAAATTTATATTAATTAGTTTAAGGGTACATTAAGTCCTCAAACTTCTGAAAGTGATTAAATAAAATTTTTAATTTTTTTCATTCGATTGATTTCTCAAATTAAGAAATTAAATTAATTAAATTTATGAATAAAAAATCGAATTAATTAAATTATTTGATTAATTTTTTAGTTTAACCACTTATATCCGATTTATTAATCGATTAATCCGAATCGAGTACTATAGAGACAGGGCAACCATTCCAACTCAATTTGCTCCGTTCATAAACACCAAGATTCAAACTTTTAACTTTACTTAAGAAATCTAGTGTCTTGTTCCACTAGACCAACTGGTTATTATGTGATATTATTATCACATGACACATTATGAATTTGTAATTATGTCAAATGATATTTACGAATTTATAAAATTAAAAGTCTAAAAAATTAAAATAATAAGCTTCTGATAATGAGGAGGAGGAATTAGCAAATATTAAAGCTACAAAGATTTAATTAATAAAAATTTAATTATTAGTGGGCTAATCAACCAACATATTACAAATATGCCTCAAATGGTACACAATTTAGAGCTATGTAGAAGATATATGCGCTATCGTGATGGTGGGTTCATCATTCAATCATCACCTTCGATGAAAAGAAGAGCCTCTGAGCTCTCTTATAGTCATTTCTTTTAGTATTTTTCATGTCCGCTTTACGGTCCATGTTCAATACCCAAAATCTATTGGTGAAAAACCTGCCTGTGTTGCAAAACCTGTTCTTACCTGATGTATATAGTCATAATTACATTTACATACAGCCAGGGTATTTGCAAAGAAGCACTGTTACTATTTACTACTCCGATTTAGGGGTTTTCTAAACTTCTTCACTGGTCTGTAATATGTTGGACTTGCAGAGAGGACATGTAGCATTGATGTACAACCACTTGTCTATACAGTTGCAGTGGAAATGGTGATGGCACGGAAGCTCCCGCAATTCGTTCCTGTCTTCGTAAGCGGAAAGGCAGATGCAGCATTCCTATATCATGATCGGAACATAAACTTTCGTCAAAATCGTGAAAATCGTTCAGAAAAAAGAGAGGCCGGGTTGACAAAGATGGTGACCCAACTACTCTAAAATGCCTGATGTAAGCTACCGCCTACCAGCATTTTGAATTATAACTTCCTAAAACTTTTTAATGGTTTTATAAAAGATCTTAATACACAGCAGTACAGGCTACTTACAGCATCTTCGTGTGGAAGAATCCGTCCAGAAGGTGTATCAGTGTTGCATTCAGTCATTATTCCCTCATGAGATTCTGGAGTTTCAGAATAAACTTTTTCGAGATCTCTGATCCTTTGGAACTTGTACTTTGGCAATCTATCGATTTCTTCATCTGTTGCTCCATCCTGTTTTTAAATATCGAAGGTGGTGTAAATAACTCGGGGTTATTCAAGAACATAGAGACCAGAAGGGAAAGTATAGACTTGTACAAAGATTAAGAAGGGTGTTGTATATATATAACATTGTCTAATCACTATGATTCACTCAACGGAGAATTCCATTTATGCAGCCGGAATCGAAACCCCCCCCGGACACACATTTGGTCTCTTAAATTATTCTGTGATACCGGATCAACGGAATTCGCAATCGAAGGAGATCACAGGTGGTTCATCAAACAACAAAGGCGGCCATCCAGATCAGGGTCAGGATTTGTTTATCATACATCATGATTTTGTTATTAGATTGTGTTCCACTTTGACAAAACATAAAAAAAAAAAGGACAATCTTCCTCTCGATCATGATTAAAGTACTAATCCACCAACGAAATCTCTATAATAATGTAATAATAATCTGCATAAAAAGTAATGAAATTTACCCGGTCTGTGAGAGTATACAAAATTGCAATGATGCAAGGAAGACGGCAGCATACAGCAAGACCAATAAGGCAGGCAACAGCAACACAGATGAACAAAAACAGGACATCTAATACAAGAAATGTAACACAAAGCCTGCCAAATTAAGAACACATCTAACAGTTACCAATAATTGATGAAAAAATATTGTAAAAAATATATCTTGAAATGATCATAGTAGCTGTACCAGTAAAGCTGAAGGGACTGATGAATCAAAGCTTGTCCTTTAGCAGTTACCCAATAGAATCCAATTATCCACCAAAGAAATGAAAACATTGTATTTGCAGACTCCAAGCTTTTGGCTACTCTGCAAATTTCATAAATATTTGGCCTAATAAGCAAATTCCGTAGTCACATGGATCTTGATTATATTCGAAACCGAATCGAATAGGTTCTCTATATACAGGACTTAAACCCTGAAACTTAGTTAAACTTGCTTAAGGATTGAATTACTTACTATAACTAATATGGTTATTTACCTGTTTTCATCTCCACTGTTCAGCTCCTCTGTTTCATGATCATCGGAATCCTCTGTTTCACTCCCGGACTTAGAATTCAAACCCGAATCCGAATCCTCGTTATTCTGCAAACCCGGAAACCTTCGTTCGTTTCTTATTTTATATTGTACAATCACGCAAGCAACGCGAAATAAATACTGTAACCCGTAACCCGAAACCCAGAGCCTTAATGGGACGGTTGGCTCTTCTTCATGGCTGAGTCCCAAAACGACAACCGCCATAACTACAAACGTCAAGTTCCAGATAATGTCGAGGATTATGACGGGCTTCGAGTACGACCAATCGCTTTGACGATCTTCGAGTTGCTCCGCAGCGGTTTCTCGCACACGAACCGACGGCTCGCGTAGCATCAGACGACGACTGCTGGCGCGTCGGAGGAGTCTAGCGGCGACGCCACGTAAAGGCGGAGGTCGACGACGGAGGAGGCGGCGGCTGCGGAGGAGGTGGTCAGATATGGAATATGTCAGGAGGGGTGACGCGTCCACTCCATCAGATGGAGGTGACGTCTGAGGTAGTGAATTTGATGGGTTCATCTAAAAAAAAATATTTCTGGAAATTAAAGGTTGTAAAGAAGAAGGCGTGTTAGAAAGGGTATCTGTTTGAAGCAATTGTTTAATAATGAAGATGGAAGACTAGACTTCCATGGAGAGTGATTTTAAAGGAAAATTGGGAGACATTGATAGGAGCTTCAAATTTGGTGGGTTTATTTGGATTTATGTACAAAAAAAAAATCAAACTTTAAATTCAGATAAAAAGCAAAGAAAAAGGGGATAATCTCCTACTTATAAAATGACAATAACTTTGGTACGGAACAGTTGAATTATGATGATGGTAGGGGAGAAATTGGTATCGAAGACGACGAACTATGGTGGTGAAAAACAGAGGCAGACAGCAACGGCAAACAGCTTGCTCTTACTGGGGTGGGCGACGGATCAATTCAATCTATTTAAATTATTTAAACTGATTAATCATATTTTATATAATTAATTTAATTTAATATTTTTCAAATAATCTAAAATGATCCTAAAATAATATATATTAAAAAAATTAATAATTTATAACATATAGATATTCTGCAAAATAACTTTCACTATTGAGAACATTTAATAGACTATAATTTAATATATTTTTAAGTGAGATTTGAGATAAATAATTTTGTTTTAATTAAATTAAAAATACTTATCATATAAATTGATGTCTTGAATTGACGACACAACCAATCTGAAAGAAAGAAAAAAGTGAAGAGAAAGAGAAAAAGAGCAGAAGAAAGCAAGGAAATGAAAACAAACGAAAGCAATGGTTACCGGAGCAGCTCAGCTTCATATGTTATGTTCCCGTGGAGATTCCCGCCAAGTTGCTTCAACATTTGGCGCTCCATGTAAACTCGAAAGGACCCACCTCGTATCTTTTTCAGCTGGGGAGGCTCCGACTCGTATTCGGTATTTCTTCTCAAAATATATTTACATTTCATAGTTTTGGTAGTTGGGGATTTGACTTCTGCTCGGCTTTAATGATAAAACTGAACTTCAAATTCCTCAACTTTTCTTTCAAGTCATTTCACCAATGCATTCACTTGCGATCAAATCATTTCCAATTTGAGTACTCCAGCCAATCGAAGATTGAGTCCAATCTGGTTTTGAATGAGTTGTCCAAATCGGGTCGGATAAATGAAGCTCGGAAGCTATTTGACAAAATGCCTGAACGGGATGAGTTCGCCTGGAACACATTGATAGCTGCTTATGCAGCATCCGGGAAATTAACTGAAGCTATCGAACTTTTCAAAGGAACCCCAATAAAGAGTTCCATCACTTGGAATTCATTAATTTCAGGTTATTGTCAACATGGGATGGAAACTGAAGCTTTTGATTTGTTTTCGAGAATGCAAGTTGAGGGACAACGGCCTAATCAATACACCATGGGAAGTATTTTGAGGTTGAGTTCAACATCGGGATTGCTTGGAAGAGGCAAACAGGTGCATGGTTATGTAATAAAGACACAATTCGAGTCGAATGACTATGTTGTTACGGGTCTGGTTGATATGTATGCAAAGTGCAATTGCATTTTGGAAGCTGAATATCTGTTTAAAACGATGCCTGACAAAAAAAACCATGTCATGTGGACTGCCATGGTTGCTGGTTATTCTCAGAATGGAGAGGCATTCAAAGCAATTAAATGTTATCGAGATATGGTGATTGAGGGAGTTGCATCTAATCAGTTCACTTTCCCCAGTGTGTTAACAGCTTGTGCTGCGGTTGAAGCTGGTAATTTTGGCGCACAAGTGCATGGTTTCATTGTTAGGAGTGGTTTTGAAGCTAATGTTTTCGTTCAAAGTGCATTGGTTGATATGTACGCAAAATGCCGAGATTTGGATAGTGCCATTAAAGTCTTGGAGAATACGGAGGTTGACGATGCTGTTTCTTGGAACACTATGTTAGTGGGGTGCGTGAGGCTGGGTTGTGAAGAGGATGCTCTCTTGTTGTTCCGGAATATGCATGCTAGAGATATGAAGCTGGATAATTTCACATTCCCGTCCGTTCTAAACTGTTTTGCTTCGATTAAAGATATGAACAATGCAATATCAGTACACTGTTTGATTATCAAAACCGGATTTGAGGCTTCCAAGCTAGTGAATAATGCTTTGGTTGACATGTATGCTAAACAAGGAAACATGGATTGTGCTTTTCAGGTTTTCAACTACATGTCGAACAAGGACGTGGTCTCGTGGACCTCTCTGGTGACAGGATATGCACGTAATAACCGTCATGAAGAAGCTCTCAAGTTGTTTTGTGACATGAGATTGGCAGGCGTTTATCCCGACCATATCGTTCTTGCTGGTGCTTTGAGTGCTTGTGCGGAATTAACAATTCTGGAATTCGGGCAACAACTTCATGCAAACTTTGTTAAATCCGGCCTCCGATCATCCATTTCGGTAGATAATTCCCTCGTAACAATGTATGCTAAGTGCGGATGTATAGATGATGCAAGCAGAGTATTTGATTCTATGCAGATTCGGGATGTAATATCTTGGACTGCACTAATAGTTGGTTATGCCCAGAACGGTAAAGGAAGGGACTCAGTAAGGTTCTATGATCAAATGATTTGCTAGTGACACAAAACCCGACTTCATTACTTTTATAGGCTTACTATTTGCTTGCAGCCATGCCGGTCTTTTGGAAAGTGGTCGCTCGTATTTCGCATCAATGAAGAAGGTATACGGAATTAAACCGGGTCCCGAACACTTTGCTTGTATGATTGATCTCTTGGGTCGCTCCGGAAAACTCGTTGAAGCCGAAACATTGTTAAATCAAATGGATGTGGAACCAGATGCGACTGTATGGAAGGCTCTTCTTGCTGCATGTAGAGTACACGGCAACCTGGAATTAGGGGAAAGAGCGGCAAATAACCTCTTTGAGTTAGAGCCCACAAATGCTGTGCCATACATCATGTTGTCTAACATGTATTCTGCTGCCGGGAAATGGGAAAACGCTGCTAGGATTCGAAGGACAATGAAATCAAGGGGGATCAGTAAGGAGCCTGGATGTAGTTGGATCGAGGTAAACAGCAAGGTGCACACCTTTATGTCGGAAGAGAGAGGGCATCCTAGAACTACCGAGATCTATTCCAAGATCGACGAGATCATGGTTTCGATCAAGGAAGGTGGTTATGAACCAGACATCAGTTTTTCCCTACATAACATGGATGAAGAAGGGAAGGAGCTTGGTCTGGCCTATCACAGTGAAAAACTGGCGGTTGCATTCGGACTTCTAAGCTTGCCATCCGGGGCTCCGATCCGAATTTTTAAGAATCTTCGGGTTTGTGGGGATTGTCATACTGCTATGAAATATATATCGAGAGTTTACCATCGTCACATCATCTTGAGAGATTCTAATTGTTTCCATCACTTCAAAGAAGGACAATGCTCATGCGGAGACTATTGGTAGAAAAAGGCCGATCCATATGCCTGCCAAATCTTAGTTTTCTTATATTAATTATTTATTTTATTGATGGTTATTGATGCACATTTTTAATATTTTAAGGTGAAGTATAGAAACGGCCCCTCGACTATATAATATTATTTTATTTGATTCTTCAACTATTTAAAATTATAAAATAAACAACAATTATAGGATGTTATTTTGTTTAGTCCCTGACTATTAAAAGTTATAAAATGTTCATTTGACTATTCATATGTTCTAAACTCGTCCTTTTTCGTTAAAAAACTAACAGTTGTCTGAATTGGATGTTAATCTATTGATTGAGATATGATAAAATTACCTTTTAAGGATATTTATTAGTATCATCGTTGCTTTCAAGCACTGACTCAACTACATAATATTTCAGGCATTGCTTTGACCACGTAATGTAAACAGAGAGTCAATACACAAAATACAACTCAAACGGTTCTGGGATCAGATTTTATCATCTTAGTTAACATTTTAATGTTTAACTCAGACGGTCGTCATTTTTTTAACAGAAAAGGAAAAGTCCGAAATATATGAATAGTCGAGTCGTCATTTTGTATCTTTTAATAGTAAGAAGACTCGACAAAATAATGTCCTATAATCTAAATATTGTTTTGTAACTTTTAATAATCAATGAACTCAATAAGGTAAAACCCTAAAATTAGAGGATAATTTATGTATTTTACCTTAAATTTTATTTATACTCACTCCAATAAAAAAAATTACATTGCTAAATCTTCCATTATTTGTAAATATTTTTTTTGTCTGACCGTATTACTTTTTCTACATACGACTTAATATATATATATGTGTGTGTGTGTGTGTGTTAGGATATTACACGAATTTAAGATCGTTAGATGAGTGAAAATAGATGACTGAGATTAACTTCTTGTTTTTTTTCTAGTGAATATCTTCTCATTTCATATTGTAAAAGTAAAATAGTTTTACATTATGTAATAAAGCCCTATCCTTATATATATATATATATATATATATATATATATATATATATATATATATATATATATATATCTATATAATACCCCAAAATGTTGGTTAGTGATCAAAATGAGTAAATTGAAAGTTTGATGTCTAAAGTATAAACTTTGGAAGTTTAGGGACCAAAGTATAATTTTAAAAAGTTGTGTAACCTGGTCCCGTAAATGAATAGTTTACCCCAATAATGACATTTTCGTGGGTTTTAGATTTTTCGTACGGAATTTGTGTTAAAAGCTAGAAAGTGTGAATGTTTAAGAAAAATTTGAATAATCGGATCGAATCAAAAATTAAGAAAATTTTCGTAGATGATAAATCAAGGGCAAAAATGTCTTAGCCATTGGATTAAAAAGGATAAGATTGTAATTTTGGAACTTTACAAGGGTAAAGTTGTAAACTACTAACTTCATGGTTTAATTTCAGTTCTTGGATGATAAATTTGATATGTGATATAACTAGGATCATTAGATTTGAAGGTCATAATAGTCATTTTGGACTAAAATAAATTTTAAATTCATTTGGGTTATAAAATAAAAAATTAAAGAAATATCTTAAAAACCTTGTTGCTGCCGTGAGTTACAAAGATAATCATAGGTAAGTTTTAAA